AGCGCCCCTTCCAACCAGGAAGGGTTAAGGTAACCAACAAGCCCCAGAATAGCAGGAGAACGAGAAATCTGGAGCAAACACGGCCTGTTTTAGAAAGTTCTGAAACATTCCACGTGGTAACAGGAGTAAACATGCAAATGCCTTTGGGGCTCAATCCTGAAGACCGAGGCCCAAGGATTTAAAATAGGTGCTAAGAAGATGGAACCAACTGAGAACATCTGATAAGATCCACCTTCTTCCTCCAACAGTTTTTATACATAGCTTATGCCTTTTATTATGAATCCTTTTATACTAAATTGCTTTTACAGTTTAGTAGGGAAACTTTTTTACTTTACTGTGTCTGTAAAAAGTATTAACATGAATCTTTTATCAAGCAAGCGACCATTTAAAAGCAGGTAACCCTTCCCTCTACTCTAGACTGAAATTGAATTCCAGATGAGCTAAAGATCAAAAACCTATTCTTAAAATATTTTCTTTGACTATATTTTAATGAACTGTGGTAGGGGAGGCCTTTCTGATACTGAAAAGTCCAGAAACCCTTTAGGAAGAGACTGACAATGGGAGAACATGACTGTTGAAAACCAATAGGGCACAAAAATACCATCATATACTGAAAGACAAATGGGAAACGGGGTGGGGGGGGTGAGAGATTTGTACCATATGACCAAAGAGTTAAAATCCCTATATTCTGGGGCACCTGGGTGGCTCAGTCGGTTAAGCAGCCAACTCTTGATTTCCGCTCAGGTCATGATCTGAGGATTCTGAGATCCAGCCCTTTGTTGGGCTCTGCACTGAGCATGGACCCCGCTTAGGATTCTCTCCCTCTCCCTCTCTCTCTGCCCACCCCCCTCGCACACATGTGCTCTCTCTCAAAAAAATAAAATATAAAATCCCTACATTCCAGAGAACTCTCAAAAACGAATCATTTCACAGAATGCCCTTTAAAACAGGTAAAGATGGCATGACTGACATTGGCCTCAGGCTGATAAATACTGAAGCTGGATGTTGCCTCCATGAGGGCTCAATGTAGTATTCTCCATACTCTTGAAAATGATGCAAATCTGCATAATACATACAGTTATTGGACAGTAATGACTGGTTACTCTGTGCCAGACACCAGGTGCTAGATATAAATTTTTAAAAATGGAAACTGCACAGGGAAGACAAATGAAAAGGTACCTTTCAACCGAAGAAATGTGCAGTGAACTTACACTGGAAAAGATGCTCAACAATAATGCTAATTTTTTACAAAAACAAAAATATTTTTAATCAGGTTAACAAGATTTAAGAGTTAATATCTAGTATATATGAAAGTATGGGTAAAAGGCATTATCTTACAGACTTTAATAAAATGTGCATTAATACTTTGGAGATATAGATCTATGTATGTACCTGTATCTATAGATACAGATATAATCTATAGATATATAAAATTTAACCTAAGGAAAGGTTTAGGCATGAACAAATAACCTAATTATCTATTAATAGAGAGGTTGGCTAAATTCTAAAGCATCCATAATGTGAAATATTAATTGGACACAAAAAAATGGAAGATAATATGTATGCATTGGTAGGGAAAGTGGTCCACAATCTAGTATTCCCTGTATTAAGAAAGAGCAAAACAAAACACATTGTATCACCTATAGAATGATACTATCTTTGTTTTTAAAAAGTAGCATTAGAGAAATAGACATGAAAAATCTGGAAGGTGGGTGCATGGGTGGAGTAGTCAGTCAGGCGGCCAACTCTTGTTTTTGGCTCAGGTCATGATCTCAGGGTTGTGAGATTGAGCCCCATGTTGGGCTCTGCACTGAGCGTGGAGTCAGCTTAAGTTTCTCTCTCCCTCTCCCTCTGCCCTACCCTCCCATGCTCACTCACCCGTGCTCGCTTGTGCGTCTCTAATAATCTTTTTTAAAAAATCTGGAAGGAGGGGCACCTGGCTGGCTGAGTCAGTGGAATGTGGGACTCTTGATCTCGGGGTTGAAACACCACGTTAGGTACAGTAATTACTTAAAAATCTTAAAATCCGGAAGGATTAACCTCAGGCTATGAACAATTGTTACCACTCTTTGGTGGACAGAATTATGAGAGCCCCTCTATACTTCTGTTTAAATTTGTTCTTAAAATACCATAACTGGGACAAAAATACGGTTCAACTTTGAAAAAGCAGGAAGTATACCAAACCTAGAAACAAATTCAAGTTTGAGCCAAAGTTATTACAATCTAATTTTTGAATTTTGCTTAAATAGCTAACGTTACCAAGATACTTAGATTGATAAAAATATGTACTTTACCTTGAATGAGGTCATATTTACACATGTGTATACATTTATCAAAACTCATCAAAGTGTACACTTAAAATCTGCATTTTATTATCTCCATTATAACTCAAATTTACAGTGCATAAATCTACTAGTGTGAGTCGAGGTTGAACCTAAAAAAATACCAGGAAAAGGACCCTCAGACTGGAATCTCCAGTTTGTGCTGTTTTTCTTTGTTCTGTCTTTTGCAAACAGCCCTGGGAGTCCCCAGGCCTTAAACTGAGAGCAAGTCGGGTCTCATGCTAGATCTATACAAGTTCCCATGTTCAAGGAAATTCACACGAGTTCTTTCAAACCCTAGAGTTTTAGGCATCTCCTGATAGAAGTCAAACTTCTGAATCTTGGATCTAATAAAGTTTTCCCAGCTCCTTACCACTAGAATTCTCCCTGGGAGCTCTCAATTTACAAGGGACAGTCTAAAGCAGACTTCCCTAGGTCCCTGTTCTCTTTTGCAATCAGAAGTTCTGGGGGACAGGGAAACAGGGCTCTGGGTTGGGTGCTGAAGCAGTTCATAGGAAAAAAACCACTCGACTTCCTCCTCGGCGTTCTGACTATAGGAGTCTGCATGCTGTTTAATAAACTGCTGCTTTTTTTTTTTCTTTAACCGCGTATCCTGAGCATGCCAACGCATAGCTGCTCCAGTTCCCAATGACTCAACTCCCAGGGGAGTGATCCTGAACAATGAATTCCCTTCTCTGGGCATCTGTCCCTACCTGTAAAGTGAATGGGTGAGACTGTCCCCAGTTGGCCTGTGATGCCTTCACCTGGTCACTTGGGCATCCCAGTCCCCACATCACCTCTGTCCCAAGCTTTCCCCACCCCCACCCGACCCCGGGCGATCTAGCTAGAGCTCAGGTTACGGACTCGGTTTTCAAGCTCCTTTATGCTTTAGTAATGGAGCTAGAGGTAAGAGACCGCAGACTCGAGGCACACACAACAGGTCTTTTTGTTCCGGCTGAGCCTGCTCCCTGGAGCGGGTGCTGTGTTTGACAATACCTTCCGTTGCTTCCGGAAGGTCTGACCATCTCTGTGAGGAGAGAGGTGCACCCAGGCCGTGCTCCGTCCTCTTGCACACCCGCCGCACCGTGCAGGGAAAAGAACAGCGGGTGCGGACCCCTGTGCGGTGGCCGGGGCTTACCATACACAGTGCAGGTAGGGAAAGTGGAAGGACGAAAGCAGCTCACAGAAGGCTCGGTCACTGATCCAGCAGAAGAGCGCCAGGGTCCACCAGAGGCCCGAGAAGAGGCCCAGCTTGAAGACACGCACGTTGTCACACCTACACAGGGATCCAGAAAGCAAGTCACCCTGTCTGGGTTGTCACCCACCTTGCTGGCCCCTTCTGGCTCCTCACACCGCCCCACCCCAGCCCCTCGGCCCTGGAGGTCCCACCCAACATCCTGTCACCCCACAAGCCTGTGGATGTAGATACCATACATACATACACAGATGACTCCCAAAGCCGTGTTCTCACCCAGGCCTCTCCCTGACTCGAGACTCACATACGCAGCTACCTTCTGGACATATCCACCCATGTGTAATACAGACCTAAATTTAACATGTCCATGATGAACCCCTGTTCTCCTACATACTCTGCCCCTCGCTGCCTCTGCTCATCAACTCCCCGCCCCCCAAGGATCCCTGCGCTCCTCAAATAGCCCCATCAAGTTCCCCAGACCTTAGCACTGGCTATTCCTGCCACCTGGAATGCTCTTCCTCACATAACCACCTGGTTCACTGACTCCTGAATCTCTACTCAAATGTCCCTCAGTAAACCCTTTCCTGACCACTGTTAACAATTGCACCATGGGTCTCCACCCCCTAAGTGACGCTCCCCCCACCATTTCCTTCTTCTCTCCTCTAATTTCTCTGTAGGGATTATAACCCCTCTAGCATCCTCCATGTTTTCCTTGTTGACGGTTGGTCTTCCCCTGGAACAGCAGGGGACATACAGAAGGCTCTCACTATGTGCTGAATGAAAGAAAGAGCTCCCACATATGCCGGGACAAAATGTTTTTCAGTTAACAGCCCAGAGAAATTTCCATTGCCATTTCCTTTCCTTGTTCCTGAATCGTTCATAAAGGGGGGAGGGGGTGACTTCCAGTCCTAGGCGGGGAAGGCCCAGAGGTAGCTGGTGGCTGAGGGTCCTTCCCGGCCCTCCCTCAGGGTCTCCTTCCCTCCAAGGACCGCTCCCAGGTCAGTCAAGCTCGCTCTCGGGACCCAGAGTCCAACGTAACATCTGCCCCCGAGAAGGGGCCACAGCTATTTGTTCATATTTGTTGTACAAGTGTCAGAAACCTGACTGGTTGGTACCTTTCCCAGCTGCCTGAGGAAGCATCAGCGAAACCAGGATGGGCAGAAGGTTCAGAAAGGCCTACTCAAAAAAACAAATACCCTTTTGGAGGAGAGCTAAATGTAGTCCTTGAAAAAAATTTTTTAAACAACAGTGGCCCAGGACTGGAGACACTAAATTCCTACTTAGCTCTGTTGAACGGCTCGCCCTCACAGAGGCTCCTCCTCTCTCTCGGCTCCGCTTTCTCTGCCTCCTCAGGTCTCAGCTTCCAGGGCGCCTTCTCAAATAGACTTTCTCTGACAGCCCCCACCCCTACTACGTCGTCCGCCCCGTGAGTGCCTGCCATTTTCCTTCATAACACTCAACACAAACTGACACTGTCTTCACTGGTGTAATTATTTGTTGAAGGTCTAATATCCGAGTAGACAGTAAGCTCAGCGAGAGTAAGAACTCTACCTGCTTTTCACTAAGTATAGACAGTGTATGACCCAGAAGAGGCATGAAATAAATGCTAGCTGAATGAATAAAACAAGGAAGTAAAGGAAAATGTTAACTGGATGCCAGTGATCTAAGGAGCACATTTTTTCCCAGATTTTTTTTTTTTTAAACAGTACCCACGTTGATTGGGTACCAAATTCTCTGAATGCATGCTAGGCACTGTGAAAGGCAAAATGAAAAGGGCTCTTGCCTTGCTATTTTAAAAGATAAAATGAAAACAGACAAAAACAAGTGTCAACAACTATAGACAATTTGGTACAAGAGAACCCATGTACACTCAATTCAATTCAACCTAGAAACCTTGGCTTAAGGAACACCCCAGAACACAGCATGCTGGAGAGACAGAGCTTGTGTTGAGTGGCATTCTGTCTCTCTTGCCAGGGATGAGTCACGTGGGGGGAGAGCCCTGCAAAGTCAGGGTCTCAGGGTGGCCTGGTACTGTCCCTTCCTCTGTTGCTAGAGGGACAGGGCCTGCTACCTGCTGCTGACCAGGCCTATCTGCACCTGGGTCTTGCCCATACCTGGGCTCCTTTGGGTTTTATTCACACTTTTTAGGGCTCCTACCAAAATATTAACGTGAGATTAAATGAAAACAGATCAAAAGTCATATATACAACAGGACCCTATTATAGGATAAAAAAAATCTGAGCTGCTATCTGTTCTCCTCTTCTTAACCCTTTGTTGTATTCTCAAAGTTGTCCTTAACAGACTCACTCCTATAATCAGGGGGGAAAAAAAAACACCTACTTTAAAATATATTAAATGCAGCTGAGTCACTTCATAATATGACAACACAAATTTCAGTAAATGTCTGCTCATAATCCCAAATAAAATGTTGTTGCCACATGGTCTGAGAGAAAGTTCAGAAAGGACAATGAAAATAAAAAACTAGAAACAAGCTCTAGCAACAAGGCTAATGAGAAACAGAAAGCTTCCCTAGCTCCTTTGAGCAGAGGGAGGATGGACGAGAAATATTTAGCTGCTACATTACAGATTATCGCTAATGTCAGCAGGGAAGGTCCTGGAAGGAAATGCAAAGAGCAGTAAGGGCATCCCCTGTCTGGGAATTTTATCAAGGCAGGCCAACAACCATCTTCTCTCTCCTTGTTGGGACTCGGGGGGAACTGGGACACAGCAGTGAACATAGGGGCCTTGTTCCTGTCCATAGAGTCTACATCAAGAGAAGGGACAGACACTAAACAAAAAACCAGCACGAATAATTTTTTAATTACATTTGGGAAGGGTGCCAGAAAGAAGTTGGTGGTGCTATGAACAATTGAGCCAAACAGGTGAGGCAACGATGAGCCAGAAGTAAGCCAAGCAGGAGAGTCAGAGGAAGGGACAGCATGAACAAGGACCTGGGGGATAGGGAAGGTCAGAACAGCTAGAGGACAGAATGTAAGGGAGGAGCTTCGTGCAGGCCAGATCAGCAGGTGGGGGCCATGTTAGGATTTTGAACTTCATCCTAATTGCAAGGTCAGCTAAAAAAAGAGACTATTAGAGGCACATAGGGGCCATATTGAGGATATTGAACTTGATGTCAATTTTAATGTCAACTAATGGAAAAATGAAAGTGATGAGATGGGATGTTCAGGGAAGAAAGAGGGAGCAGGCTTCTGCTCTGCTTTGAGCAAATGGGTAAATGGTGCTTTGAGCAATGGAGGTCATGATCCCAGGGTGCTGGGCTCAAGTCCTGCGCTGGGCTCCCAGCTCAGCGGGGAGTCCGCTTCTCCCTCTGCCCCTCCCCGCTGCTTGTGTGCTTTCTCTCTCTCAAATAAATAAAATCTTTTTTTTTTAAAGATTTTATTTATTTATTTGAGACAGAATGAGAGAGAGCACATGAGAGGGGGGAGGGTCAGAGGCAGAAGCAGGCTCCCTGCCGAGCAGGGAGCCCGATGCGGGATTCGATCCAGGGACTCCAGGATCATGACCTGAGCCGAAGGCAGTCGCTTAACCAACTGAGCCACCCAGGCGCCCTTAAATAAATAAAATCTTAAAAAATAAAAAAAAAAAAAGAGCAATGGAGCTTTGAGCATCTGCTTTGAGCAAATGGGTAAATGGTGCTCCCATTTGCTGGAAATACTAAGAGAACCAGAACTGGAAAAGTCAGATCAGGAATCTCGTTGAATTCGAGACGGCTGTGACAGGTGGAGTCAGAGGCTAGATGCACCGTGGTGGAGGCAGAAGGAAGGACAGAGTCACACACACACCTGGGAGTCATTTGCACGTGTTTGGTAATGAACGCCACAGCTGTCGATGAGATCTTCCAGGGCCAAGTGTAGAGGGAGGAAAGCCGAAGTGAGAAGTCCCCTTTAAGGGACCCTTACATGCAAAGGTGCATAGCAAACGAGCTCACGTGAGAGACTGAAGAAAAGCTGCCGCAGAGTGAGCAGAATCCCAGGCGGGTGTGGCGTCCTGGGAGGCATGGGGAAGAACGTGTCAAGGATGAGGGGGGGTGAATTGTGCAAGCAGCTGAGAGAAAAGCACATAAGATATAGGAAGAACCGTCACTGGGCATACAACCCAGGAGGGCTTAGGTATCGAAGTGGGGCAGAAGCTAGATGGGAGTGGGCTGAAGAAGACAGGAGAGCTGAGGGACGAAGACAACTTTTACAGACGTTGGGCTGTGGTGCCTGGCTGGCTCAGTTGGTAGAGCGTGCGGCTCTTGATCTCGGGGTCTTGAGTTTGAGCCCCATGTTGGGCATAGAGATCACTTACATATAACAGTAAGCACTTCTAAGACGTTGGGCTATGACAGATGAGAGAGAAAGGTGGTGGTTGGAGACAGACCTGGACTGAGCCCAGGCTGAGAGCTAGGTAAGATGGGAGAGGCTCAAGTGTTTTTACAAGCCAATGGGAAGGACGGTTTAAGGAGGGGTGAGGACCCAGTAGACTAGTTACAGGAAGGAGTAAAGTATGTATAGGAGAATGGAGGGAATGATCCATAGGCAGAAAGACAGACCCCGGCAGGAAGGAAGAATACTTCCCATGATGCTGCCACTTGTAAATGTAATGATGGAGACTAATGAGCTGCAGTGGGGGCTAGCTTTTCAGGGACAAAGATTTTTTTTTAAGATTTTATTTATTTATTTGACAGAGAGACACGGCGAGAGAGGGAACACAAGCAGGGGGAGTGGGAGAGGGAGAAGCAGGCTTCCCCTGGAGCAGGGAGCCCGATGCGGGGCTCGATCCCAGGACCCTGGGATCATGACCCGAGCCGAAGGCAGACGCTTAACGGCTGAGCCACCCAGGTGCCCCAGGGGCAAAGATTTTTAAGTATGAAACAGATGATTTCCTTTGTAATCATGTACAAAGATCAAGAGTAGTAAAGGAAAATGTGGGTGCCTGGCTGGCTCAGTCAGTTAAGCATCTGCCTTTGGCTCAGGTCATGATCCCAGGGTGCTGGGCTCAAGTCCTACGCTGGGCTCCCAGCTCAGCGGGGAGTCTGCTTCTCCCTCTGCCCCTCCCCGCTGCTTGTGTGCTTTCTCTCTCTTAAATAAATAAAATCTTAAAAAATAAAAAAAGAAAATGTTTCCCTGCTTAAAGGTCATACTCTTGAAGCAGAATTTATTTAAACCGCAATCTGCCCTAACCACTGTCTTCCTTCATTTGTTCTTGTTTAAATAGGAGTTAAAAATATTTTCCCTTTCCTTAAGCTACTTTCTAACAAAATTTTCGGCTAAAACATAGTATCAAGAGTTAAAATGAACTAGACTGCAACGAATTCTCCAGAAACATACCTAGGTTCTGCACATTCTATTCAATTCAGGCCGAAT